GAGGAACGGTAACGAACTCAGTGTTATGTTGTGCCCATCACTAGTCGTGACTAACTGATAGGTGTCAGGAACGCATTCTCTGAACGGCCGAACTATAGTACAGTAATCCATTCTCGGCTTGTAGTCGTTGGGAAGAAGACACTGAACTCGACGATATTGATACGGGTGCTGGCTATCATCTTTGAGGGCTCTCCAAATCCGCATATGGTTCACACCTAGTTCACGTGCCACCGAGCGCGTGCTCCGCGTCGCATCTTCCTCAAACATGTCGAGAATGTGCTCCTCGATGTCGTCGTCGTACATCCTCGGTCTTTCTGAATCTGTACGTTATTGATCACGGCCATGCACACTGCCAGTATTGTTCATACGAATGTGAAGTCGTTGGAACGTCATCGCCGACGGCAATTGTATATTTCGTGGAGTAGCAAAGCACTCCCCGTAAAGTCTTCGTGTTACTGCATAATTGCAGTTACATTTCCCGAGACACATCAACATATTAAAATATCCCTCGTTTGAGTGAGACATCGCACACAAGTCACTCACGGCGGAATATTAATTTCGCAATATAAAACACAACCGTCAATATCAGTGCTAACGCGCTACTGGTGCTTGATGCTTGTTTGTTTGCATAGACGTGGCAAAGCTATTGTACTCTATAACATAATTTTGATATTTTCTAAATCGATAAAAAATTTCGTGATTTTTTATGTTATTTTTTTAACAATAGTTATTATTTATTTATTTACTTCAGACAGCGTCCGTAACTGTTATTAAGAAATTAAATTATAGCTAGGATTAGTAAAAATACATTAAAACACTTTTATAACAAGAAACATTTAAAAAATTGTGTTATAAATCCACACAATAACAAATACTTAAACTATTATGCTGCTGTGTTTTTCAAAATCTAATAATTAGCATTTTTTATCGACCGAGGATAAACAATACTTACTTATATTTCTATTCTTGACCACTGAATTGTGACAAAATTTTATGTTTATAAAACTTCCCATGTTTTTAAATATTACTACCAAATATTATTAGCACAGAATAAATAATAGATACGTCGACCACGAAGATATTGTTCAATATGTCCACCTGTCACACATTTGCGACACCGGCTTATATGTTTTATCGACCGACGATAAACAACCCTTATTTTTATTTCTATTCTTGATCACTGAATCATTCGGGGGCAATAAATCGATCTAGCTAGGATTCATTTTTAGAAAATGTCATTTTGTCCGTGTTTTCAGACAATGAAAAGCTGCTACAATATAAGAAGGTAAATTTTGACAGCGTATTAACTATCGTAATAATTCAATTGGATATCGGGCCGTCGCAAAATCGGAGTGCCCTGATTCGCGTCCTGTCTCTGGTTCGGATAATTTACCATGCTTCCATAGGTACCAGATGGAAGCCGTCGCTATGTGTGGTCTCGTAAAAAATCACGCCGACTTATCAATGTGATCCTCTATTGGTGGCTAGGTAAACGGGATACAAAGGTCCCTATTAAATATTTCAAACGACCTCCACAGGTGGTGCGTGACCATCCTGACTATGGCTCATATACTTTGGACCCGCAGTCTTCAAACCCGGGCCTGCTTCCTGTAAAAGAAGGCCAAGCTTTTAAGCAAACAAACATTATAGTTAAAGAAGTAAACTTATTAGGAATTAAGGAAAATTTAGATTTAAATATTATTAAGTTTAAAGATTTTAGTAGGTTGTTTATGAATTCCAAGCCATGAAAACGCAAGCTGATTATTCTTGCGATTTAACTATTGAAAATTTTAAGCAACTTGTACCATCCAATAGATTTAAAAGAGGTCTCGTAGAACCCCTAAGAACAGTCATTAAAGCAATCACCGGCAATATTTCACAAAGATGTTCTTAGATACGACTCCGTTATATCCAAATTAAAGAATAATCCAATTCAGTGTTGATAGTAAAATCACCGTTGTTTCTAAAATGCTGAATAGCTTAGCAAGTAGTACAGAAACTTTACATAAAAAATGAACTAATATTAGTTGAACGATTAAAAAGAAATGAACAAATAGTTAAATACATAGCTACCAAACAAAATAATACAATTTACAATACATATATTTTAGGCATGTATAATATGTTCATTAGTAACTTTCATAGTATTTACCTTAAACTTAGTGAAATAGAAACCACTTTAGCTTTTAGTAAAGTTTCAGTAGGTATAACACCAATCAATTATTAATTAATCTGAACTGTTAGTGATACTTAATAATATAGGCAAAGCCAATAACCTAGTATACCCTGTAAATGTAGAGAATTTGATAAAGATTGAAAGAACTATTGTTATAAAAGCTTACATGAAAGCAAACCAGATTACGTACTTGATGGAAGTTCCACTTACTAATAGTTTTAATCACAATAATCGTGTATAAAGTGCTGCAGCACCATCTCTAATTCGGGGTAAACCTACAACGGTGGGGTGCGGGATCACGTGCTGTGTCGACCTTGCCGCGCGCTTCCGCAACACCATTTGACACACTGACTAATTTTGTTAAAATCAAAAAATAAAAATAAAATATTTTCTTATCTAAATATTTACCGAAAAATGTAAGTAAAACTATACTTTGACTACCTATACTAATGTTAAACACTCGCTGCCGTGCTGCCGTGCAAAGTGCAAATGGGTAAACACAAAAGACGCCGCGTGCCGGCTGTTACGAGATTTACGGCAGGCCTGCCGCAGCAGTTTGTATGAAACTTTTGATTTTACGTTTGAAACTTACTAAAGGTACTCTACTCTAAATAAATACATGAATACGGATTTTGCTATATTTTAACACGACCTTACGGGGTGCCTGGATGTTCAAATTAGTATGGAGAAAAGTCATTCCTATTTTTTTTGTGCAAATGCTCGTGAATTAAAGTAATAAAATATCAATTTATTTCTTCAAGATCTTACCCTAAGAGCGGCCAACCCGTCTTACTTTTCATACAAACGCTCGTACGTGATTATCGCATTGTAATAGATCTTTCTTTGAAATTTTTGCTAATCTTGTGCACTATAGCTTTCTATCAAAACAAAGAATCAAAACTTGGAGAAACAATTAAGTATAAGCCTCCAAAAATCTGCTTTTTTGCACAAAATTACCTGAATTTTGGCCGTTCATAATGTACTCATAGATAGTAAAACCAATAAAAATATTTTGATAGAACGCTCGCAAATGTAATCGAGTTTCTAAATGACAAACATTTATTTCACAAACTTGTAAGGCTTACTGAAAAACACGTATTTCCTAGAACAAGTTTTATGAAATTTCCGCACACTATTTTTCGTTCAATGTTATCACGTTCTTACTTGCTTAATAGTCAAGTGGCGGTGAAGTATGCGGGGGACGAGTCGTGAGGGGTTGGGGCGGGGTGCGACGGGGGAGTTGAAAGTTGAATGACGCTCGGCTCCGGCCTCTCGGAGAATTGTTAGCAGGTATTAGGGATGTTCCGATACCATCAAAGTATCGATACCTACTCATTTCGATAGTACTTAAATCTTTTTTCGATACTACTTATATAAATACTCCTAAAATATCGATACTTTTAGCAAAAAAATTTTTTTTACTAACGTAAAAACAATGAACTTTGAAGAACAATAATTAAAACAAAATTGACATGGAAAAAATATCTTTTATTATAAACGTTAAACGACTCTTTCTAAATACCTCTACTATTACACAGTATTTTTATTTCTTAAGTAAAGACTTATTTTTTTTAAATACACTGCTTTTCCAACCACCTTTTCTGAGCTAACCGCGCCTTAATGTCAAAGAGTTTTTTGTTTAAAGTTTAAACAAAAAACTCTTTGACATCTAGATTGCCCAAAAACAGTACCTGTTCCAGGTATTTCGGAGACAATCTGTTCCTTGTGTGAGACATTGTAGCACCGGCTTTGTAAAAAAGGCACTCGCTATGAACTGACGTTGGCACAACTATTAAATACTGCTGTGCATACTTGTACAGACAAGGAAAAACAAGTTTCATGTCATCCCATTCTGCAAATGGGTTGCTTTTACTGCAGAAACTACTGCATTTGATAAATAAAGAGAAACTTCATCTCCCTGATGAGATTTCTTTTTCTTCTTGTGCCCATGTGCTAACTCCTTATGATGTTTCCAAAAATCATATTCAGGTAGTGCAATAGATGAGACATCATTTTCTGACTCACTTGGGCTACTTAATTGTCCGACAACCATGGTTCTAAGTTTTTGAATAGCCATCCGCATGCAGAGGGGTCTTGGAAATGCAAGTTTTTAAACCTTGGGTCTAAAAGTGTAGCAATGGCCGCATGGTCGTTTAATTCAATCATCCCATACCTCCTTTTCAGCAATCTCAATAAAACATCCTTACATTCTTTTACGATAGCAGAGTTTGGAGTTATACCATTCAGTTCCGTAGTTAAGCAATTAAGCATTGGTATAATTTTGGAGATTGTTACATACTTTTGGCATGATGATTCTCTTGTTACGTATTCAAAAGGCTCCAAACAGCTGTAAGCTCATTCAAAGTTTCCATTTCCACAGCACTTGGCAAATTTGGAGCCACTACACTCTCATTTACAATTTCTGATATTACTATTCTTAACTTAAGGAATCGTTCTAACATAAAAAAGTTGAGTTCCATCTAGTTCTTATATCTGCAATAAGTTTTAAAACTGATTCTTCCGAAACATTATTACGCATTTGGATTTTTCGTAGCTTATCCGACTGCACAACACTATTTTTTATCCAATTAACAATTTCTCGTACTTTTATAACAGCTGAAATAACTTTAAGTAACTTTAGTGAATTTACTTAGTGAACTTAGTGAATTAGTGAGAAGATTTATAGTATGAGCAAAACACGGTAAATGTTTTTTTCCCCAAGAGACATTCGTATGGCAGCCAACATTGAACTAGCATTATCTGTTACAGCTGCACGAATTTTGGTGAGTGGAATATCCCATTTTTTCAAAATATCAAGCAGATTTTACGATATATAATCAGCTGTATGTCGCTCATTTAATGCATGAGTTGCAAGATAATACATACACATTTTACCATTTTCTACAAAATGTATGGTGACGCCCATTAATCCTACTTCATTCATTGTCTCTGTCCATATGTCTAGCGTTAAACAGAAATTGTCTATCTTGGATAATTTGGACTTACAAATAGTAACACAAGCTTCATACTTTTCGGTAGTCCTTTTCTTTAAATATTTTGCACCAGGAACTTTAAAAGTAGTTTCCAGTTCTTTTACAAGTCTTAAAAAACCTTCACCTTCAACTATGTTAAATGGACGTATATCTTTACAGATAAAAAATATCAATGCTTGAACAATTCTGTTATACTTCGTATCACCAGCTGAAAATAAAGAAATTAATTTTATATTTGTTATATTAAATTGAATATTTACATTTTTGTCAATAATATTAAGATCATTAATTTATAATAATATAATTCTATTACTAATTTTTTAACTATTTATTTCTTTACCTTTATTAGATGAAATTCGATCAAATGCATCCTTTATTGAACTGCTCAGTAAAGACTTATTTCTAATCTCCGTGTCCATAATACTAGTCAATGTGGTTACAAAAGAACCATCATCGTGATCTTCTGAAATTTTTGATGTTGATGGTTGAGATTGATCATCTTCCATTAAATGCTTTGAGCTGGCCAATGTTATTGTATTTTCTGAACTGAAACATAAGAGTAAAAATTAACACTTGATAGATCGATAATCTACAAAGAAACGATAATCCCAACCCAACACTACAGCCACTTAACAATATCAAACACATAACCTTTGTATAAATCGTATCCATACAAACGAATTATCTCATCGTCCGTCAACAAATCATATCATATATCTTCAGTATATAGACAATCACAGTGCCACTGCTGGATACAAAACCTAATTTTTATGGTTAATATTTCCAATATGGACCATCGACTACAAAGCCCATATTTTTTTTGTACATAGTACTCACTAAAAGAAAGCGTTTTGCAAAGTTTTAGGTTGCGGAAACTTACGGTTCATGAGATATATTTTTTTAAACTTTTCATACAAATTGGCAAATAACACGCCAGTTACAAAATAAATTTGACAAATGATTGATGTCAAACGTCAATTAGTGTAGGGTTCCGAATATTTTGAAAGTATCAATACGTACTCGATACCAAGTATCGTATCAAAAGTATCAATAATACTTGGTATCGAGTACATTTCGTTAATTTTGGAGACTAGGGGGGTACGAAGCCGGGAAGTTGCGCTCCGTGGCAGCTCCGGCGCTGCGGGATGAGCAGTGCCTCCGCCCTAGCGTAGGGAAGCACAGGCACCTGAGCTTCCCTACGGCAGGCTGGCACTGTTCTCCCTCCGCGCTTCCGGGCTCTTATATACACTCTAGTGGTAGGGCAGACAAGACCACGTGGATAGTGGGGTGCTCTGATTCGGTTTTGGGTACTTTTTGGATATTAAATAAGTAAGTCAATAAGTAAGTAAACACTTTATTGTAGTGAGAATTAGATAATACAGAAAATTGCAAACAATAAAATAAAAGTACAAAAGCTGTACTAATTAAGAAATACAAACAAGTTGCAAACAATGAAATACAAGTACTAAGGTAGAACTTAAATAGAGTAAACTTTATTCTACTTTACATACATATATAATTGCACTTATCAGCTCTTCCTATGCATCTAATTGGTTTGTCATAATTTTTCGTCTCTTGATACGATACTTGGTATCGAATAGGTATCGATACTTTCAAAATATTCGGAACCCTACACTAACTGACGTTTGACATCAATCATTTGTCAAATTTATTTTGTAATTGCGTGTTATTTACCAATTTGTATGAAAAGTTTAAAAAATATATCTCATGAAACGTAAGTTTCCGCAACCTAAAACTTTGCAAAACGCTTTCTTTTAGTGAGTACTATCTACAAAAAAAATATGGGCTTTGAAATCGATGGTCCATATTGGAAATATTAGCCGTTTGTTTTAGTAAAATGTGTCCATATTATTGATTTTGGTGGTGCCATGATAACATTGGAATAATAAGCCGATGATTACAATAATTAAAATTACTCGTAAACAATCACTCAGTTTAAACAAAGTACGTATACTTTTATTTTTTGACAATAACGTGATAACTTAAATGGCGGGCGGGAAGGTGGCTCTCTCGCTTTCAGCTCGGCTCGGCTGAAGTCGGAAAAGTTCGGCTCGCGTCACTCACTCTTACGCTGCCATGCAATGACTATGTACCTGTAACTGAGCGAGAGGGCCTTGCTCTCTCATTCTGACTGATGCGTTCGAAAAAAATTTTTTTTAAATTGTTTATTTTGATTCGATTTGATACCAAGTACTTTTGTTTTGATACCGAGTATGTATCGTAAGATTGATTCGATGCTATAAATACTTGGTATCGAATCAAAAGTATCGAGTACCTACTCGTATTTACTAGTATCGGAATATCCCTAGCAGGTATAGAATTTGTTGACTGCGCGTACGCGAATGTGCTGTTGTATTTTAATTTTAGTGAATTCTGTTTTACCTACTACGACGGTCTTGTTTCTTTTTATATCGGACACTGCTTTGGCTTGCGAAAGGTTTAGTGTTGTGAACAACAGAAATTATTGACTCACGTTTACCACGCAAACTACCAATGAGAGAAAGACTCGATGATTGACTGTATTAGATGATAATAATTAAATTTTTTCAAAATTTTCAATCACTTCTGACAGTTTAAAAACTGTTTGTGTTCGGAAAACGGAATCTTCTCGACAACTGGGTTGTTTTATGTATTGTTTATAAAATGTGACAAAGTTTTTTAGAATAAAAATTGATATTTACCCAACTGTATTTAGACTACTTTATTTGATCAACCGCCTGTACTACGGTACAAATTAGTACCTATACAAACACACATTTGTAGTAATTTACATACGGTACGTACATGTTAAATAATTAGGTACGTTACCTGATTTCCGTATCCTCTAATACAATACTAATACAGACAAACTGGATAGATAAAGAATTTATTCTGCTCCTACTACTAGTCCTAAGCAGAATAAATCATTTACCTTTACTTTTTCGTGCTGTATTTACGTATATGATGGACGAACGACGAACAAAAAAGTCGAACGTAACTCCCTGCTAAAACAAAACTGAGTCTGGTCTATGTGTGGGTATTGACGTTTGCGCGTGTAATGGTAATGGCTGACTAATGTAGAATGGGTCCGGGCTTGTACGCACGACGACCATTTTAAAAAAAACAGTTTATACGGATCTCTCATTGTACGGGAAATTGATACAAAGCGAGACCATTGTACACTGGATATTTCTAGCTATATGTGTTTACAGTTTTTTACTAGCGTAAATCTGTCTGACTTTCTTTGTTCGTCCATGAGGTACTTGTATATATGAAATAAGAAAAAGCTAATGTATGTTATAAATAATTTCCATATCGTCAAAAATAACGTACGCACGGTACATAGATTGGTAGAAATACTACACAAATAAATCTCCGAAGTCAAGCGTTACGTCCGTACTAGACAAAGCATGTAATACGCGAGGACAAATTGCGAGACGTGCGCGTGCGATTCAATATTATTGTCATGAAATCACGAATGGCTCACTAGTGGATAGCAGTCTACCGCCCGCGAGTGAGCGGCAAAAGTTACCGAATGCTAACCGAGCGCTCAGGCGCTATCTCTCTCTTTTCGCTTTGCATCTTTTTCTAACATTACGCTGGATGAAACAACAAGCTTTTCAACTATACTCGCGTTGACGATAGACGGGCCGGGAAGGGCCCTCTTAAGATTTTAAAACAAGGGTGCAAAATTTTCATGAAAAATTTGTATTGGCACGTAGAGGGGTGAAATTGGGACATAAAGTTCATTTTATTCATATTACCCTCTAGACCAAATGTCGCTCACGGCGGCCAGTCTCCATGAAGACTAGCCATATAATGTATTCAATATATTGTTAATGTAATATATAATGTATTTCCGAGGCATGGAGTTGAAACACTCGTAGTACTAAGAATTTCTTGATAGAAGAATCGGCAATCACATTTACAACTACTTGAACAACGAGGCTATTATAATATATATAAGAGTGTATAATATAAGAGTATAGTGAAGTACCGCCAGTATTTTAACTCGATGCTGCAATTGAGAATTTCTCGACACAATACCCAATCTGATTTTGCGCCTGCACATAACTATTGCTTAAAGTTACAATATTTTTTAAATCTATATGGCAGTATTGTGCTTCATACCGTACTCAGTGGCGGCCCTAGGGCGGTGAGACCGCACCGGGCGCCATCATAGGGGGGCTCCGAAATCAACCGAAATGCTTCCACCGGCCACCGGTCACCAATTCACTCACTCTTATCAGTAACATTCCGTTTTGTTGACGCTTATCAGGTAGTCAAAGCACGAGTATTTTGTTGCTTACAAGCCAGTAAGTGACTCTTCGGAAAAAGGAATTACTGGCCTCTTTCTTGATGCGATTTTACAAGTGTTTGACTTAGACATGAGTGATTGTCGAGGTCAAGAGTACAATAATGATTAAAACATGGCAGAAAAATTAAAAGTGTTCAAACCAGAGTTCGACAATATTCTCGGGCATCTTTAAATCTATGTAGTTAAGTTATTAGAACTTAATTTGCTAATATTCGCGTAATAAAATAAAAAGATGTGTCCTATCCAGTCTGAAGAGCTCACAAGCCACATCGCACTGCAATTTGCATGCACTATCCTCGAGTCACCACTCCCAGTACCACCACACCCAACGCCAACACACTAGGGACGACACACCACTTTCGATAATACGATACGTGTTTCGACCTACACGAGGCATCCACAGGTGAAGTAAGTAGTCTCTGCGGTGGCTGAAGGCTAAATGAGCGGCGAGCCGAAACAGTTGCTATTTATACAACTCACTGATCAACGAGTTGTATAAATAGCAGCGTGTGGAGAGCGAAGAGAGTGCTGGGAGTGGTAGTGATGGGGTTAATGGTGACGAAGATAGTGTCAGCCTACGCAGAGTCTACTTCGTCTGAGGATGCCTCGTAAAGAGACGAAACACATGTATTATCAAGGATGGTGTGTCGTTTCTAGTGTGGTGGTGCTGAGAGGTGGCTCTGGGAGTGGTGGTGCTGAGAGTGGTGGTGCTGGAGGTGGTGGTGAAGGGGATAGTGGACGCAACTGAGGGAGGGTGGGAGGTGGGTGCTTTTCAGACTGGGCAGGACACATCATTGTATTTTATTACGAGGATATTAGCATATTAAGTTCTAACAACTTCAATGTTTTCTGGATTTCCGTAAAGTAATGCCTAATTCTTTTAACTATTGAAAAAGTTAAGTGTTTGGACTTAACAATCGACCAAAAACTAACGTGGAACTCTCAACTTTGCAACGTATGTCATACGGCTATTTTTTTTTTGTTGTTGTTTTAGGTACGTGCATTCGTGTGATTGGAAACAACTGCACTAACGACTGCGGACAGACCAAATAATCTACAAAGGACTGCCTGCTTAATGGCAACTGGAGCGATGCGATCATCGCCTGGAGCAGCTCTTAATGCACTTCTGTGCTATGGCCCCTTGATCCTTATTTAGACCACGAGGCGAGGGACAGTTTATATAGGATTAAAGCCCAGGGCGGTCTGCAC